ACGGAAGATGTGCCTGATCTCAGTTCATAAGCAATTAAGAAACGAGCGAAAATACACTGCTTGTAAACAGCTGAACATATAGCAATAGCACTTAAATGTGTATATTGCTTCACAGTGCTTTTTACAGCTTTCTCTAAGCAGTTTACAGAATCAGCATCTCCCCAACCATCGAGGTCCTCATTTTACTGACCTCGGGAGGATAGAAGGCTGAGTCAACCTTGAACCTGATGAGATTCGAACTGCCAAATTGAGGTCAGTCGGCAGTCAGCAGAAGGAAGTCTAATCCTTTCTCCATGAATTCTTGACTAATTTCCCTTTACTTTTAAGGTTGTATATATCCTTGACCACCAAAATGTCTGACCCTTTCATAAAACATTCTTCAGGAAGCAGACAAATGCAGAGGTAACAGTGCACCCTTCTCAAGGAAAATAGAGAAAGAGGCTGAATCAAGTGATGGCTCATAAACTTACTTGCTGCCAAACCACTACTAGCACTCATGGAGCGTCCAGGTTCGGGCCGGGTTTTTGTGATTGAAGGGATGCTGACAGAACCACTAAACATTGCCCGACTTTCTTGAGGCCGAAGGTTCTGCAACACAAAGACAGACAGGTGAGAAACAGCTACGAGGTAAAGTCATACAAAACAGAAACAGCAAGTTGACCAGGTTCGAATTTAAAGAAGACCTTGACTGACTCGCTCACTAATGAATAAGCACAGGGGTAGAATGGCGTATGAAATGCCAGGGTTATCCATCCCATTGATTTGGATGTGCTGAATTACAAGCTTCCTCAGGCAGGCTACCGAGGAGGAATGATAGGAAATTGGGGGAAACACAATGGCAGGAGAAAGCTGTGTTAAGCAAATGGTCATCAGTGACAGCAGTGATTGCAAAGAAGTAACTGAAAAAAAGAGATAAGAGGCTGGAGATTTTTGACCTGAGGGTCAAGGGATCATGCAAAATGGCCTTTTTTTCAAATATGAAAGGAAGAACATATGCCAACAATGCTTCCCTTTTGTTCCATCTTTTATTTTTAATTTTTTCTACTTTTGTTATTTTATTGCTATGTTGATCATTAATGTTAAGATTTTGTTTATTTGTGTTGTTTTACTCATACTATGGATGTTTTAAAGTTTGCATGTATGTAAATTGCTGAGAGTTGTGAGATTGTAATAGGACGGAAAATTAATACATTTTATTTTGATTATATTTCAGACAAATTCATTTTGCTTTTGTTATACAGTACATCAGGCTTACTTACCATGGGCAAGTCTTTGAGGATCTGTATACCATCTCCTGGGCCCATGTGTGCTATGTGGTTAAAGTTAGTTGGGTGAGAAATTAATTTATTTCTCATTTCTGGATCTCGCAGCATCTCTCTGCAAAATAAAACATTCAGATATTGTATATTGAAGTGGCTATTTGTAAACACAAAGAGTAAATATATACTAGTCATATAAATTATTCCACAACAGAAATAAAATAGCCAAATAGTGGCTAAATTTTAAAAGAAAAGTACTTTAAATTCTGATACTGATTCTATCTCAGCTGTTAGCTTGATGGAAGGGAAAAGGTCAGGAAGAACAGAGGTTTGGCTTAAAAGCTTAACAGCCCATGTTCATAAAAAGTCCAAAGGGTTACTGGGTCTCAGAGTGCACTACGAGAGGGAGTTGAGACAACATTCAAGAAAAGGTGTAGAAGTGGGCTCAGTGATGATCGGATGCTGCAAAGATGGAGGCAGAGATGAAGGATAGAAGAAAAGAGAAGGATTAGAAGAATATAGCACTACTCTTCGCATTTTACTCTTACAATAATTTAAAGAGCTTTAGACAAATTTGCCAACATGTTGTAGAATACAAAGGAAATTTTTTGAATTTCCAGCATTTTAGAATACCTGACAGCATAAAATTGGTCCTAATCATAAATAGGTCGAAAAAGCCTCAACAGTAGTAAAAAAAAGTCTGACTTGAGAACAAGCAAGTTCAATTATTTCCCTGTTTTCCCATAATTATGTACAAACTTTTATCAGCACAACCTATACATGAGAAATGCTGAAACATTAACTCCATATTTATTGAAAATATTTTCTTAAAAATCAAAATCCTTTCTGAATATTTACATATAGTCTGAATGCTATCTTGCAATGTGACCCTTTTGCTGCCTGAAAACTACACAAAATTTGAAAAATAATTGTTATGATCAGAGCACTGGGAAATATCACAGAGAATCAGATAGGAATTGTGTAAAAAATGGAATATCAAAACTGGACAATATATGCATAATTAGAAATATAAATTTCTTTTGTAAAACTTTATTATCAGTCATATATACAGTATATACACACATGCACACACAAATGTACTTATGTACAGTAGTTGGAGACATGCATTCCAATTTACAATAGTTCTTTTGCATTGATATTTAAATTAAAATAAATTTAAGTATTGGGTTACACATAATATAAATAAAACATACTATATAACAGAAAAGACAAATGTTTGAACGCATTGACTAGAAATCCATTTTTTTCTAACAATCAAAGAAAAAAAATACAATGACGGGACACAACAGTCTTCACGGTCTACAAGCATGGACAGAAGACAAGTACAGGTTGAATACCGACCTTCTCTGCTGCATTCTCTCTTCCTCAGGCACTCGGAATGAGTAGCGCCGTTTATTATTAATATTTCGGACCATTTGCTTTCGACTGTTATCTGATGTTTCAGGAACCACCAGCTCATCACCCTCTAAGGGAAACATAAAAATCCAAGCAGGATCACTTTTTTTTCTCCACTGCAGAGAGTTAGCTATAGAAAACTTTTCTAAATTAGGTACAACTGCTAATGCTAAAATAATGGAAAAAATAGAAATACCTAGTATAATGTTATGGCTCTAAGCTTATACTAATTATATGTTAGCTGCAAACATTCATTTAGAGGCCTGAATTTTTTTTAAAAAAACAGAGAATCCTGACTGAAAGAAATGACTTTTTCCTCAACTGACCATTTTTGCACCCCAAATAATTACTACGTAACTTGTACATCTGTAAGTTCAGTTACAGTTATCTTGCTCTGAGCCAAAGACCGGCTGATGTTAGTGATGAGAATTATCATTGAAACAATATGTAAGGCTAAGGGAAAACTTCCCACTTCTTTGCTTAGTTCTACTTCTTGTGGAGTTAATCTTGCATTCAGAATTTCTTCTAAGAAAAACTTTATACTTAAAGTAGATGTGATATACGGAAAAAAATTGCATGTTATATAAAATAAATGGGTAATTTAAAAAGGTTTATTTTTAAAAATTATAAAATAAAACAAATAGGAAGGTTTTTCTAGGAGACTGAGACAGAAATGTTTACTCAAGCAATATTTCTTGCATAGCCTTTAACTACCAGATGTGCCTGCTGAAACTTCTGTGGTGCTAACTGAAACATTGCCTATCGTTCACTTCCTGGGAAGTGGCAAGAAAAAACAAGAATGAATTCACAATGCTGATTCAATGATTTAATTCTCTATCTGTAGTTAATTTTTAATCTGAAAGTACTTTACAGATAATACTACTATAAGGAAGAATTTGAAATAATTGTCGCCTTCTATCAATGGAAGCATCCTGAGTGGAATTCTATAATACTAAAAACTTCCAAACCACTGCATTTATAAAAGTTTTATTTATTTCAAAGATCCGGATCTATAATTTTAGGAAGTATTAATGTATCTTACATTTGAAGATGTGGAAGTAATCTTTTAAAAAAAACTCAAGGGTAACAAAATCAGTACAAAATATACTGATAGTCCTTGACATGACTTATGACCAGTTGCTCATGACCATTATGATAGACTTGCCAAAGCTACCGGTACTTATTATTACCTTGTTCCAGAGTTCAGACAGGTGCACAAACCCCTGCAGTCACATTATTGGATTTTGGGCTCTTGGCAAGTGGCTCACCTATATGGCCAACTGCAGTGTTCCATGGTCATGTGACAACAATTTGTTTTGGCCAGTTTCTGGCAAAACACTGATAGGAATACATTGATTTGTTTAACAATAGTGGTGCTTGCTTGACAAAATAAAATCATGTTCGGTCACTTGAGTGCCTCGATTTATGACCATCATGATTTATGATGGAAAGTCCAGATTCCATTACAGTCATAAATCAAGGACTCCCTATAATAGACTTAAAATTCAATTATACTGGAATGCTAGAAATACGAGACATCTAAATGGAGTAACTGGTTCCTACTTCAAATAAACTAAGATAGTCTATTTGAAAATATAGAAATATTTTGAAAATATTTTTATTCTATTTTTTATTGAAAAATTGAAATATTTTAAGCCTATCATGATTAGATAGCACAACTGTTTCGCCTCAATTATATTTAAAACCTTGGTAATTGCAGCATTTATAAATTTAATGTTGAAATGCTTCTGAGGAAAAGCTTCTTGGATTACATTCAATGCATCAGCATTCTATTAGTGTTTTAAATGAACAGTAATCAATATAGATAGCAGTCAGTTTTTTTACTTACCTGCCATCTTATTTTTGAAATAGATTAATCTAACAGTTTCTAGTCCTAGGACATTTAGCGACCCTTCTGTGTTCAAAGGACGTACCTAAAAAATATAAAATGTTAAAAAAAAAGTAAAAAGATACGAAGAAAATGTGAAATAGTATAAATTTGTATGCATCATACACGAATAACAAGGAGGCAAAAATTCAGGAGGACTCTGGTAGGTGGGTTTAAAAACACTGGAGTTTTAAGCATCATAATTGTTAACTGATAAAATAGTTGTTATCTGTCTCTAACCTGCATCTACACAACCAACTTGTTTTCTTTTCTTTTTCTCACCTCCTCCTTTCTCCAACTGCAGCTCACAAAAAATATTCTTTTAATAAAAAAATATTAGGCAAAAAATGTACCAAACTCCTTCTGAAGAAAGGCTAAACACGTTTAATAGGAATGTATGTATTTTATTATTTAAAGTATCTTTTCTCTAAAAATTCTAAGTGCTTGAAAGATCTCCCTTCTTTTTATTGCAACCAAAACAGCAGCTTCAGTGAGTGGTTGCTTCATACCTAATTAGTGGGTGGATGTCCTCCTTCCTAGTTTATTAGAATAATATTTTAATCCAGACGGTAATCAATATGTATTTTAATTTATATTATGAACAACCTATCCAAACTGTTTAATTTACTGTGTAATTCATTAGTTACCTTCTTGAGGGGGATGGTCTGAATCCACTCCATTGAGTTCACATCAAATATATCAACTGCATTTTCACTATAAACTGAGAGGTATGGTGCATTGTAACCTAGAAAGAAACACAGATATATGTTTGGATAATGCCTTATGGACATACGTTGGATTGGGTTGAAAATTGGAAGGTAAGGAAGTCACTTTTCAGCATATATTTTTTTGTAGTTAATTTAGAAGTACATTTTCTACAGTTGAAAACAAGTCTAGTTTTTTATTGATGTTTACTTATCTGTTTAATATTTATTGAAAATAAGCTGTAAGTCAATGAGAATCCTACCGCCACTCACTATGTTTACATTATATGAATAGCTATATTAAAAGGTTAAAATGAAGCTTTTGGAAAAAAAAGAATAAACCATTAACTAGCTGAGTAACAAAACAGTTTTAAAAACTAATCATATACTAATATTATTAGTAATAGTGCTAATTAATAATTAGTACTATTATTAACAAAATAAATCAAATTCTTCTGATATAGATTGACATAATAGTAATAGTGTTTGTATGTGCATTTGTAAGACACACACACATAGAGACACACCACACAAGGGGGTGTTTTCTGAGGTTATGAATATTTTTTGAAGAATTGAGGAAATGCAGAATTACTTAATACCGCAACTTCTAGCATCTTCCTATTAGCAGAACACCCCTATCACCAGTGGATATTTATTAAATATGCTCTTTTATCACTAATCTTACTGACAACTNCAAGAACAAACTACAAACTTCTATTTTGGACTGAATGATCCTCGTATCCAGTGAATGTAGTTAGTTAACTAAGAAAGTTACTTAAGAGCTTGTGGTGATTAAAAGGCAAAATGGGTTTGAAAGCCTAGCCCTAATCTTCCAAAAGCTCATTCATTTCTATTTGCATTTACTTCAGCTGAGGAGATTCTATAATTGTTTGGACACCCTTCAGTTTACTTTCATCCGTGTACTAGTAAACAATAGGCTTTGCTTGTAAAATAAAGAACAGGTGGAAAACAGGAAGAGATAATTTAAAATGGTGCTTATGGCTTTCGTTTTTCTACTGATAAGGAGGAAATGTCACAGAGCAAAAATTGTGAGGATGGAGTCTTCATCTAGGCTGTATGATTTTTATCCAGTGCCATGTTCTAAATTCAGATCACACCCTCAATCCATAGTTTATTTAGTATGAAAAAAGGAACACCACAAATTTTAAATTAAAGGATCTCTTAAATAGGAATCCATCTTCTGCTGCATTACAATGCTGCTTCTTCTTTAATTATATACATATGTACTAACTCTTAATTTTGTGTATTTACTTAAACTCTATTATAGTAAAATATGCATCATTTCCCCCCCAAAATCAATAAGATTTACTGGTAGCAATCAGACTGACATTCAGAGTGTCTGAAAGCATGTGTATCTTCCTTAGCAGGGCAAATTTCACCCTATCGAACATGGAGGATGTTGCTGTATTTATTCCTGAAAAAATATAATATGGGTCTACTTGTACCAAAGCAAATCTATCTGGTTTCCTGTTACATATTGTGTATATCAGCCTACACTGCCATGTTTTGTTTGGAGTGTGGTGTATTGCATAATATGCCATACAATGGAATTTCATAATCCTATGAAATAAAATTGATAATAATAGAAATATACCAATATTTCTCATATAACAATAACTCCGTGCTGCCCTCCACCAAGGTTTTCTTTTGTTTGCTGGCTACTATTAGGAGGGGAAGAGAATTGCGCTACTGGTGCCAATTATGGCACATACACTCTCTTCCTCCCCTTCCCACCCACAGTTTGATTCTTGTAGGGAAGCTGAGAGGAGATGAGAATGAGAGCAAATGGAGAATCATGGGGACCAAAAGCTGCTGAGATGTCATATTTGAGTGCCGAAGCAGTTCATGAGTCCCAACTCACGTGGTCCGAGCTCTCCAGGGAGAGGCTCTTGGTCTTGTGAGGAGAAATGGGACTGGGAGGGCTGCTCAGGTTGGAACTGTTGGAAGCTGTAGAATGCCTTGGAGAGTCAGAGTCCTGCAGCCCAAAACACGTGAAGAGAACATATTAGTGAAGAATAGTAAAGCAACAAATGGAAACAGGGAGGCTTGGAAACCTATAGAAGCAAGGGACAAGGAAGGAACGAAATGTATCTCTCCTTTCTCTGCTTGGCTAGCAACCCTATCAAAAATAGGCAGTGAAGAATACCCATTCTTCCTTATCAAGAGAATGCTCCTAATTTTGTTGCCCAAGTGCATTAGTCTGAACTTTTGGAGGGATGAAAACAAACAGCAATTATACATTTCTAAAAGCAACTTTCTAGAAGGTCTTTTTGGGGCTCTTGACATTTGAGTCCACGCAATGCAGTAGAACGTATGTTTATATTTACAATCTGCCAAATATAAAAGCGCACATATTTTTCTAGAGTTGTTATAAACTTCAGTGGCAATTAATACATTTATGGACCTTTGTTGATCTAATTTTTATTTTCCTGTATCTGCATCTATGCCTATAAATGCTATAATCACATTTACATAAATGTTTATTGGCATAATTTCCTGAAGAGGCTTTGTTTGTGCTGTGCTGTGTTACATAAGGAAAAAGTTTCCCTCACTCATATGTGCTAGTCGTCTTGACTCTAGGGGGCAATGCTCATCTCCGTTTCAAAGCCGAAGATATCTCCATGATCATGTGGCCGGCATGACTAAATGCCGAAGGCGCATGGAATGCTGTTACCTTCCCACCAAACTGGTCCATATTTTTCTACTTGCATTTTTACATCCTTTCGAACTGCTAGGTTGGCAGAAGCTGGGACAAGTAACAGGAGCTCACTTATTTATGCGGCGCTATGGATTCGAACCGCTGACCTTTCTGATCGACAAGCTCAGCATTCCTAAACTGTGTTACATACTTCTAAGCAATTGCTTAACAATAACCAAAAAATAAAAAATAAAAAAAAATGGATGAACAAGAATCTCCCCAAATTGTTTCTTGGAATATTTTTTGCTTGTTCAACAAATATTTTTTAGCTGGTGATTGTTTCCGCAGGGAATTCAGCCCATTTGACAAATTTACAATTTGGATTGATCCCCGGACCAAACAATTCAAAGATTTAAGGCTTGCCTTCTGTGATCAGATGACTTACAGATATGCTGTGTGTAATTTTCATAAATTAGGCTTGATACAATGGTGCTGTGATTTAAAACATATGGAAGCTATTTAGCTATTGGTAACAAAATTATCAATGTAATTCATGCTATGGAATTTTGTCATATTTTACAGAATAATACTTTCCTTTTCAATTATTAATCAGTGCAGTAGTTATGTGTCTCTATTTCTGATTACTTTAAGCATAAAGTGGAGCTTATACCCACCTCTCTCTCGTACTCCCTCACTGGTGCATCACTGCCTTGGTCCAAGCCGCCAGAAGACAAAGAGCCATCTGAAGGGGATGCCATTGGCTGACGCTTTGCTCCATAGCTACCTCCTGAGAATTCTCTCCGCAAAGCACTACCATTTTGTGCAGATGTTCCTAGAAATGCACCCAGGAATTTTAAGTACATACCATGTAAAACCATTAGAACTATATCCCTAGTATTCATTCTCTTTACTATTATTTGGTCTATTGATGGTTGCCAGTTTGTTTTTCCATCATCATACCTCAAGGTATGATGCATCATCAAGGCTCCTCTCCCTCTTCCATCCCAGCCTCCATTTCATCAAGAATAAAAACAACTTTATTTGCATTGTTGAATTAACACCTCTGTGTTGGTTAAGGAGAAAGTGAGGTAAAGTATAGGAAGGGAGGTTTAACATCTTCCACTTGCATTGAATCTCAAATACTTTGCTAACATTTCTGGAAATGTTGCTCCTATAGCAGTTCATTGCAAATGAACAGACACTGGAATATATCTGAAAGTAATGCCCCATTTCCTAGTGCCAATCCTGATTAAACTTCCATCAGTACCATGACTGCTGTATACCAATAATGAAAACATTGAAGTATATTTGTTTTCATAAGTTATAACCATACTTCCAGTATTATTTATATTTTTGCAATTTAATCCCTGCATATAACATTAAAATAATAGGAGTTTTATTATTTTAACTTTCCTCATACTTCTCTATAGCAATATGCAATGAGTAACAAGTGGTTTAACAGCTAACACTTCTTTACTGTTGCCAAGCAAAGTCCATCAGCACTTCCATCTAATTATCAGGACTTGGGCTCAACTCATTTCTTTAAAAAGATTACATTTGATTAATACTCAGTTCTGCAGCTCTTTTTCATATTCAGGTGAAATAAAAATATGATCTATATGATTGCAAGGCTTTATTCTAGATACTCTATTGATATATTTCAGAGCGGTGAAAAATGACAAATAGGCAAAAACAAATATATTTCCCCTTTTTTAAAATACGGAAGATGTGCCTGATCTCAGTTCATAAGCAATTAAGAAACGAGCGAAAATACACTGCTTGTAAACAGCTGAACATATAGCAATAGCAATAGCAATAGCAGTAGACTTATATTTTTATTTCACCTG